GTCCTACCATATGTATCACCATTAGAGAGGAGGACAGTTAACCTCCTTCATTCTTTCCCATAGATCTATAGGATTTTAGGAATATACAATCTCCCTATATGACATATCTTTCATATATATATAGTTTTTCGGTTTTATAATTTTTGCACACTAATCTTCATATAACGATGAAATATTTTTTTTATGAAAAAAATAAAATTTTATTTTTTTCTTTTTCTGTTGCGCATGTGATATTAAGACCAAGGTCGAGAGAGATTTTCTAATCTAATTCCTTCAATACCCTAGATAGTAACTCAAGATATATAAATGTGAATGCAAGTAATCTAAAAATATAAGCTCTTTTTTTCATTAGGTTGGAGATAAGCCTTTATACTTGATCATATATAATCTATAATTGCCTCCAAGAATCTTCTCTTAACTTACTTAATCCTTATTCTTATCCAACTAGATAAGTATTAGTGATTAGCTAATGAAAACTTCCTATCAATCGTATTAAAAATAAATGATGGGATGGATGTTAGAGGAAAGGGACACCTGCATTACGGAAACGTTTTCCAAACCGGTCTTTTGGAGCCGTGCGATTCGGACACCTGCATTACGGAAACGTTTTCCAAACCGGTCTTTGGAGCCGTGCGATTCTTCCCATCTATCGTTGTCTCGAGTCCAATCCACCATTCAAACTAATAGCTTACCAGAGCGAGTTGTTTTAGCCCACTTGTCCACGTTTCCTTCGTGGATGCTATATATATATATATATATATATATATATATATATATATAAAATCGACGTGAATACCATACCGAGAGTCAATTCTGCGACATGAATGCAAGGAACGTATCCATACTCTGCTGGGGTAAACTTATTGTTATGTCAATTATGCAGCATGCGGTTGGTTGACGTCAACTTATCGGTGTGGAGGGAGAGAACGTGAAACACGAAAAGAAAGTCCCAAAAATTAATAAAGAGAAAATATATTAGAAAACTAGTGTAAGATGTAACTTTACTGGATAATTTTCTACCTATAATCATCAAGAAAATTAAATTAGTTTTTATATGTAAAAATATATAAGACCTTAAGTTATTTAACTCAATTATAATTCTCTTGTATACCGTCTTATATAAATTAAAAAAACTTCTTTTATCCCCACCGAGCATTAAGATTCAATATGCATTTATATGAACAAATCCTTATTTTTTAGAATTTTTTCGTACTTGAATTCTAATTAAATCGAAATCCTAATTAAATTTAATTATGACTCCTGGAGAATTAGAGCCTCCTAAAATATCTATCAACTCTAATAGTTAATAGGGATAAATGCCAGCAGATGATCCTCTTCCTTTACAGGTCAAAGATCTTCTCAATTAATCTTTAAAATTTAAGAACCTCAAAATCAACATAAAATTTTTAAGTTAGATTATTTCTTTATTTCACATCGAATAACTCCAAACCAAAACATAAACTCACGTAATAATCATACCTCTGTCACATAACTTAAGAATACTAAAGTATCTTCTCACATTTTATATTCCCAAAAAAAATATAAAGATACATGATATATTTATAAAATAATTAAATCTTAACTTTTAGAAAAAAATTTCTTCACGATGAACTTTTCATAATAACATACTCGACTTCAAAAATCTAACTCAATAAATTATTATCCAATATGATATTTTACCGAAACATTTACCATATATGTGTGCACTAAGAAAATAAATAAGACTAACCATCCTTATCGGTAGGCATCACACATGAGGCTTCATGGATAGGAGACAATTAGTAGATGTAGTTGATGATTGTCCCTTAACATCAAGTTTTCAAATCCAATCACCTCGTACATCTTTATAAAATTCTTACTAATTACGCTATTAAACATCTCAAGCAACTTATACGAGTTCCACTTGTTGTTATCTATCAAGGTAGAGTAAGTTTCCATATCCATAAAAGCAGGTTTCGGGTCCAAAAATATCAAACCAGCACTTGTCATAAAACATCCCCATACTTTTCCTCATTTATTAGTCTCCCTTATTAGTGTTCTTTCTTTTTCTTCGCCATCCTTTTCATATGCATACATTTACTTTTTTTTATCACATCAAATCGTGTGCTAACCTATTTTTTCTATTAGTTAACTCAATCAGGTTAGACTTTCATTTTACTGTGATGCTATAAAATTCTCAGTTTATTTTATATTTAAGAATATACTATATATATATATATATATGTATATATGATCCTAAATCAAGGATAAGAGGTTTGACCAGGTCAATGTCCAGCCATCGGAAATCGAACAACAGGGAAGCCATGCAAGCAAGCGGTGGTATCCACCGGACGTTGAAGTGATGACGCTTTGGTAGTACATGCCACCGAACCACTAGTCCCGGCCACGGATTCCCACCCACGCCACCACAAGTTGGAACCTCGCTCGATAGGAAGCCAGAGTTCTGGGGACGTGGGTCCCGAGTCATTTAAACGGGACCCACGAACTTGGAAGGCGGACATCCCGAAGGAATCGACACGAGTTCGTCACGTGGGCGCACCAAAACAAAATGTGACAGTTGGCTGTGTCAGTTGAAAACGTTCTTAATGCTCCACCTACCCCGTTCTTCTTGATATATACCGTCCGATATCGATCCGACGGGTGTGAAGACGGCCCGACTCACGTGCCGAGGCCCTCGATCCGGGCACAGCGCACGACCGCCCCCCTGCTGATGGCTCTGTTGTGATTAGAGCCCGATTTGGTGTCGGGAGTCGGAAGGAACCGTGGGAGCTATAAATACAAGGGGAGACGCTACTCTCCACGAACTTCGCATATATCTTTCGGCTCTGCAGGCGCTTCGCTTCGAAGAGGCGTTTGCGTTGGCCGAGAGAGGGAGGAAGAAGGAAAAGGAATACTTGGTATTTGTGGGGATGGATTCTGGAAAGGTGAAGGATGTGGGGATTCTTGCGATGGACATTTACTTCCCTTCGACTTGCGTCCAACAGGCATGGATTCGAGCAGATCCTCTTTCCGCTAATTCGGCTGCAGCTAGGATTGATGCTATTTTTCGCTTGAGCTTGCTACGTTCTTCTGCCTCGTTTGATTGCTCGATCGAGTTGGTTTTGGGATTTTGATCCTTTTTTTGTCTTGTTTTAAACCTTTCATTTCGGTCAATTTGGGGCCGCGGAGATGGGTTTGTTTTAGGTGGATTGAGAAGTGTAGGTTAAATTTTGTGGTTGATCTTGAACTTTGCCTTTTGAAGAGGCTACTTCGAGTGAAAAAGGTGTGAAATATGGGTGGATTTTTTTACTTTTTTTTAGGGCTCTTGTTCGATCTAACTCTTTGTGTGTCCACTTGCTTTGAATATATACCCTTTGGATGACACTGCTTGGTGTATGCCATCAAAACCTGGCGCGACGTTGAAAATTGAAACAACACAGGTTTTGTCGGAACATATCCGGAGGCACAAGGAATATATTAAGGAGGAGTTTTAAAGAAGGAATTGTAAAAGAAGGTTAATAGATTGTTTATCATATCGATCTACTTAGTTGTGCGCTTTAGTCATGGTAAATAGTAGAAGTCCCTTTTAATTTTAATTTTCTCATCATAAATTATCGGAGGATTTTTTCAATTTGGCGTCAAAATGTTTTTGTTACACGGTATCTCATTCTTGGTGTAAATGTCTGAAAATACTAAGTGTGCTCATTGCAGGAAGCACTGGAGGCTCATGATGGGGCGAGTAAGGGGAAATACACAATAGGTCTCGGCCAAGAATGTATGGCCTTCTGCACAGAAGTGGAAGATGTGATCTCCATGAGGTAACTGGCCCTCTGGTCTGTTCTTCTTCCACCAACTAACATACGAACACTTGTTAGACAGAGATGGGACCACCTAATGTTTACCTGGAAAGTCTATGTACTAGAAGACATAGCCACTGAAAAGACGAAGATGAAATATTGCTACCATGTTCTCTGAAGGTTTTAGGTTAGTTTTGACATCATAGGTCACTTTGTAGGATCCAAAGCTGAAAAGTGTAAACACAGGAGCAAATAAAAAATTTACACTTTCATGGTGATATTGAATTATCTTCATCACTCAAAGAAATAGAAGAAAGGATGCTGGCACTGTTGAATCGAAAAATGATTGGAATATTTTCGTTTATTTATTATGTTCTAATGTATAAGGGAGGCTATGTACTATATTTTCACCTTTCATATATGTAACCTTTAACTTTTTATACATCTAATGAATGATACACTTATCTTGACATACATATCTCTGTTTTTCTTAATAAGTTATTTAGCTTCATAATTTTGTGATATTTTAGGTTTTTCTCCTCTCCGCCTTTCAAATGTCATTGTCCATGTTATCGTGGCTGTTTCCATATGGTGGAATTAATTCCTTTGATTTTGTTATTACTTACAATTATGTTCTTTGAAATCCTTGCTGTGCCTTCCTTTCTCTCCCGGTTTTTGTTAATATATTTACCACTTGACTGGTAAAAGATGACACATCATGTCTCTAATTTTGTAGGAAATACATATTAATCTGTTTTCTGATTTCTGTGTAATATATTCAGATTGGAATTTTAATTAAGGGTTCTTTTCAGCTTGACAGTCGTTACTTCTCTCTTAGAGAAATATCAGGTTGACCCAAAGCAAATTGGCCGTCTGGAAGTTGGTAGTGAGACAGTGATAGACAAGAGCAAGTCAATCAAGACCTGGATAATGCAAATATTTGAGGTATGTTCTACATCTGTATGACAGGCTTATTTAATCTGCTAATATCTAATCATGAACAACATTGATCAGAGAAAATTGGACAATGTATTTCTAGCATTTGCATTTGCTTAGGCTAGAATGATAACTGGTCTCGGATGATTACATTTTGTATCTATTGGTATATCATTTATTTTTTTGCTTAAATCAGTCTAGCTTAAAATTTTCCCTCACTTGCTGTTGGATTCCCAAATATTTACTTGAAAATACAGGAATCTGGTAATACTGATGTTGAAGGAGTTGACTCAACGAATGCATGCTATGGTGGAACAGCTGCTTTGTTCAACTGCGTGAACTGGGTAGAAAGTAGCTCATGGGATGGGCGCTATGGCCTGGTTGTTTGTACGGATAGTGCGGTATGATCATATTGGTCCTTTTAAATACTAAATTCATTTGAAATTCTGTCACAATTATCTATTTTGGGAGTATATTTCGTGATGTGTGGAGATTGTTCCACACTTACTGGATCTTCTTTCCCTTTAGGTTTATGCAGAAGGGCCAGCTCGTCCTACTGGGGGTGCTGCTGCTATTGCAATGCTGATTGGACCAAATGCTCCAATTTCTTTTGAAAGTAAATTCAGGGGAACTCATATGACTCATGTTTATGATTTTTATAAGCCAAATCTCGCAAGTGAATACCCGGTTTGTTACCTTTCCGTCCTCCTTTTATTTCTCACTTAATCCTGTTTAGTCACCATCCACTCTGATTTTTTTCTTCTCCTGTCTTCTATTTAAACTATGTGAATTTAGTATAAGTTTTCTCTAATTTCTTCTTCACAAGTGACTCTGCACAAATGACGTCATAAATTATCAACAAAAGCTTTTGGGTTTTTTCATCTAAAGATTAATATTTCAGATCTGAGCTTTCTTATTTTCTTTTTAGACAGTTTCTGTGGTTCTTCCCTGAGGTGCATATGATACCAAGTAAAATTTGCAATTGCTGCCTCCGGCCATGTTTTATTTTGTGTGCTTTTCATTTTTAGTTTTTCTGTTATGCCAAATCATTTATCACGAGAGTACAAGACATAAGGTATGATTTAACTCTCTCTACTAATATCTGCCATTTTAGCTGCACAATCAACTCACTTGTGAGATGGTACAATAAGGACATCCTTAAAGATATAACAGCAGCTGGTGGATGTCTTAATGATATTGAGTTATATTTTTGTCTTAGTACTTAGTAGTATTTCTGTTACCTATCATCTTTAGCCAAGTTGATTATCTACTTGACCATTTACCTGTAGGCTGTTATCTTGTACACAAGGACACTTGCCCTTTGGATTTTTATTTTTCTGCAATGCCTTCATTGTTCTCATTGCCAGCTCTTTCAAAAGAAATCTTCAACTTTATGCAGTCAAAACTTGAAATTGTTGGTCTTTTCGACAGAAAAATCAGGGGCTACAAACAAATAATTCAAGTCTCAGCACCAGACCCAATGCTGGTCTTGCCTCAGGGCTTGGTAGGGGATGCATATGGTTTGGTATGCTGCTGTACCAGTTGGTATCAGATAAAATCAATTTTATAAAGAAAAAAAGAAAAGAAAAAAATGTGAGAAAGGAAAAAATCACCTCTTTGTTTGTCTTCTTCCTATATTTGGTTCCCTAGGCTTATCGATATTTATTCATGATAAGTTGGTCAATTGCGATAAAAAAGTGTCATTACCAGACTGCAATGCCAGTCCCCTTGCAAATCAGCAGGGGATGGTTATGGTCTGGTATGCCTTGTGTACCAGCTGGTAGCAGCTGATTACAATTGGTACAAAAAGAAGCACCTCTTCTCTCAATCTCTTCTTTGTTTTGGCAACCCAAGTCTATTGTGATAAAATTCATGGTACGATGATCTGTTGCAACTTTTGTTGCATAAGATTGGGACCCACAAGGACTTCACGGCAGCACTGGACTGGGCAGTTCACGAGGTTGGTTCCTCATATGGTTTGTCCCTGAACCAAGGAAATTGTGATGCACTGATTATAATAGTGCAGCTTGTTTCAGCTGAAGTTTTATTCTTGGTAGGAATTCAGACTAGTACGTACTGCCCTTTCTGGGTCTGGTATACTTCTAATTAACTATCCTTGCTACAGACAATGTTTGCTCATGTAAATATCATGCAGCTGTTGTTGTCTTTATTGTGAGGAACTTATGTAAATTTGTAATGCATACAGGTAACTTGGTATCTGAGTTTGCAAATTGATATTGAGGGTCTTCCAATTGTAAATTATGTTTCCTTGAATAAGTTCAAGATTCAGATTGGACCAGGTTAATGTGTTTGAGACGTTGCTTGCTAGATTATTTTTGAGGTAAATGAGAGTGCAAATTTTCTTAGATAGCAAATTCATGACACCTGAAATCATAGGAATTACAGCATATTCGACTCGTAGACATGGATAACATCTACCAAAAATTTCTTTACTACTTGTACCTCCTATGATGTACAATCTGACTAAATATTAGTTGTTATCATGAAAAGTTGTGAGCCAAGCTAAAATTTATTGAGGCCTTGATGAACCTTATTTATGTTATGATTTTTTTGTTGCAGTTGGTTCTCAATGTTGAGTATTAAACATTTTTATTGGGATGTAGGTTCGGATGTAGAAGGTTCTCATACTTTGCATTTGTTGGTTTTCTTATTATGCCCATCTAGGTTGTTGATGGAAAGCTATCACAGACATGCTACCTCATGGCTCTTGATTCTTGTTATAAACGTTTTTGCAGCAAGTAAGTTGTGGCTGATTGTAACAATAATGTGCATTTCCTTGGGTCCAAACTCAAACTGATTCATGATCATGTCATCAGGTTTGAAAAGTTTGAGGGAAAGCAATTCTCAATTTCTGATGCGGATTATTTTGTTTTCCATTCTCCCTATAACAAGGTATAGCTGTTTTTCCTTCTTTGACAACACATATATATATCTTCAAATCACAGAATTTTTCAGGTCTTGCTGAATAACTTTTTTCCTTGATGTGTTACAACAGCTTGTGCAGAAAAGTTTTGCTCGTCTCTACTTTAACGACTACTTGCGCAATTCAAGGTTAGTTTCTTCTTGTCAACTTTTATCCTTATCTTTTGTTAATCAAACTGTAAGGAAAACTTATCTGCTTAATATTTATTATATTTGAAGTGTTTATCATTTAAAAAAATTTCATACAAAATTTTATATTGTTGTTTCAAGATGCATTTGGTGTTCTATAAAAACGATTAAATGAAAATTTAACGAGCTCAACAGATTTATGTCTTGTCATTGATTCATAAAGTTTATATTAATTTTAATATATACTATGTGGTCTCTATAATACTATATTAAAAATTTGGTGTTTAGTTTTAATCAATGGATATATCTCATTTGTTGCCCCAATAATGCTTATTTAGGACACAGGCATTTAATATAAGTCAAAAATTGTTAAACAAGTGATGTTGTGGTGATAAAAGCTTATGAAAACAAGATTGTAACTTCCTAAGCAGTCTAGAGATTGTTTGGGTGGTTACCTTGTCTATGAATTCTGTTTCCATTTTTTTGTTAGATCACAAGGTCTCCATAAATATTGTCTTCCTGGTCTTAAGGCTGGAAGGTGATTGCACAGTTGAAGATGGACCTTGCAGTTGTTGTATGTACTCATTTCAAACCACATTTCAAGATTTAGGTCACATTTTATAATATGGATAAACACGGAACACCATTGGACACCAGCCAACAGATCTTCATTGCGCTCTTACCACAATGAACTTCAATGTATTAGAGAGGTTTTGCTGGTGGACATACACTTGTTTTTTTTGTGTCCATCAATCTCCTATAATCTAGATTCTGAGAACCAACAATCTGCAATTTGTAGAAAAGGGTTTCTGAAAACTAACAATTTCAGTCTTGTAATTATGCTTGCACTGAGAAATAAGGTTTGCTGTGAAACAAATTGAACATGGATTAATTTTGAAAATCATATTTTTTTGACATTTTATTAGTGGATATAAATTTCATTTACAACTATCAAATGGATATTGGTTTTTAATAATATTTATGTAAGTCGACAAAGATGGAATCGGATGTATGATCACTATGGCTTTTTGTTGAATTGAAGCTGTAAATGGATGAAGATAGTATGAATTTGAATTTGTTAGCAACAATAGATAAATTGCTATTGTGAGTCTGTTGATGGTACTTGTTGGAAAAGAAAACAAGGATAACTATAAATAATTTAATATTGATTATTACCTAAAATTATTTTGAAATTCAATTACATAAAGTTATTTCTCCATGTACATTTAATCCTTGTGTTATCTGTATATCCAAATGACAATTAATGAATGGAAGTCAACCATTTATATAACCCCATGTGGAAAATTTGGGTAGCAAAATTCTAAATGGAAGCACATTTATGAGACCATATGTGGCTCCAATTAGATAAAAGAAGCATCATACAGGTGCTATCTGATAAACTTTCAACCCTATATTAGATTAACTACTTGATTCTTCTTGAGAGACAAAAAGGGTTTACCCTGTCCTCCCATCTGTTCTTCTTCCTCTTTAACCTTTGTAATTCTTCTCCCTATCTGAACCATCAAACATGCTTAATGTTAGCCCTTTATCCTTCATTTAGAAAGGGCCAAAATGCTGCTTTTAGCTTTCTGAGGATATCACGTCTAAAGAACTTGAGTAGCTGAAACAAGGGCACTGACAGGATGATCCTTCTTTTTTATCTTCATTTGTAGTCTAAGGTTAAGGAAGCTCATCTGTGGTGTGGTTTGACAAGTCTGAGTATACGATGTGGAGGAGGAAGAAGGGTCTCTGAATGTATTAACTGAAACCAGTTGTGAGAAAGTTCATGTTGTCTTTAAGGCAAGGGAAGAATGTAGGCTTCGATTGAGCTAAATCTAAAACCTAAAAGATTGATAACACAATCCAAACTGTCAAAACTTGAGGCCCTGTTGATACTTGTTGCTGTTGAAAGTCAGTAATTGACTGTATACTTTCTTGGTCTTTTATCTACCACCTTTAATCTTTAACTAATTGCACTTGTGAATATCTTTTCATGTCAGTTCTATTATTTGGAGAACTATCAGATTATTTGTGACACCTTGGTGTAGTGGAAAATTGCAAAGTGTCTTTGTACCTTGGTTATGAAGTACAATCATCAGCTCTTCTTTGTTTATCCTTTTTTTAACCTAAGCTTAGGTGTATTCTGAAGCATTTTGTTTTGTCTTTTTTTTCATTGAATGTTCACATTCTATAAGGTATAAATTTATTCCAAGTTCCTAATTGTACTATTCCTTGTTTCTCATTAGTGTTGTCGAGAAGGATGCAAGGGAAAAGCTGGAGCAGTTCTCTAATCTGACTGGTGATGAAAGCTATCAAAGTCGTGAGCTTGAAAAGGTCATTCATCTGCTGCTTAAAGTTGAGACCTTATCATTAATGTTTATTTGCTAATTTTTTTTCTCATAAACTGTTTAGGTTTCTCAGCAAGTTTCAAAGCCTTTATATGATGCGAAAATTCAACCATCTACTTTGCTGCCAAAACAAATTGGGAATATGTACACTGCATCTATTTATGCTGCATTTGCATCTGTTATCCACAACAAATATAGTACTCTGGTGATGTTATCATATTTCTTTGTGTTGTCATATAAATAATTATATATATGATATAAGCTAATGACCTTAGTTTTACATCGTATATGCAGATGGGCCAACGGATTGTAATGTTCTCATATGGCAGTGGCCTATCTTCCACAATGTTCTCCTTCAAGCTTCAGGATGGTCAACATCCATTTAACATATCAAACATTGCTACCGTTCTTAACGTATCAGAAAAGCTCGAGAAGAGACATGTGGTATGTTTTTTGTCATTGAATTTGGTTATAGATATCCTCCGTGTTGCTTGGCATGTATAAGTTCAAGTATATTCATTATGCCCTCTCTATATTCTGTTGTTTCATCATATCTATTCATCGTGAAAACGCTTGAACATCTTGTCCGGACAGGATACCCTTGCATCATGACATTTTTTATTCTGCCAGTTCTACCTATTTATATTTGAGTCTCTCCTGTTTTGCCCTCTACTTTGAGAAACCGAATAACCTGGAGTGGATCGATGATACAGTAGGTAGATTGCTCAATGTTCAAGTGATCTATATTTTATCGTGTTTCAGTTAGGTAGAATGCTTCACTGTTGTTTCTTTTGGTGCTAGTGTCACTATTTGCATGTGGTCATTATTTATATTTCTGGTTAACTCAACTACTGTGTTTCTCTTCTGTTTCTTATTCAGATTCCACCAGAAAATTTTGTGGAGACATTGAAGCTGATGGAGCATAGATATGGAGCCAAGGATTTCGAAACAAGCAAAGATACAAGCTTACTGTCTCCGGGAACCTTCTATCTCGTGAATGTGGATTCCATGTACCGGAGGTATTACGCCAAGAAGGGCACAGAGGAAGCTACGAGTGCCAAAAGTTTCAGCGTCAAGAACGGCTCTTTGGCCAATGGCCACTGATGGCGTGCTTCCAAATTGGGGAGGCTGGTGAGGAGCCTGCCAATGTCGTTCCTTGTTGGTTCTTCTGATGCTCATGTCATTATTGTGCTAATCACTCGATGAATCTGAATTATCTAGTGAATAATTTGGTTGAGCTATTTATTTCTAGCCATTATATTTGGTTTATTCGGACAATGCTGGAGAATCACTGTGCCCCCATCTTATTACTTAGCTCTAGCTATCTCGAATTGTCATTTATCAGTAGTGTCTCCTTAATAATCCCGTATAAATATAATTTTACCTTGTGTTCTGATTTGATTGAAAGTCGCCACTATTTTAGGTTTACAGGGATTAGGAACGATGGATGCTTGAGCATGTAACCTACTCAAAATACATATTTTGTGACCTATTTAGCATGTAACCTACTCAAAAGAACGATGGATGCTTGAGCATGAAAAAAAAAGATATTATTTGATCGGTTTTAAGTATGATATTATTCCCTATAATATTTATTCTAATTTTATTTTTAAGCTTTTATTTAAAAATATGGAATACCTTTACTAATGATATGTTTTAACTTGTTTAATTTCCAAAATTGCATATAGCTTGGGTGTTTATCAAATATCTATCCAAATTGTTCGATTGATTAAAAATTTGGGAATATATTATTTTCTTCCCCCATATATATATATATATTATGATGGACGGTTGTGATCGGAGGGTTGTCGATAAGACCACAAAGGATTCAGGCCGTATTATAAATGCCTATATATATATATATATATATATATATGGTAGGATGGACGGTTGTGATCGGAGGGTTGTCGATAAGACCACAAAGGATTCAGGCCGTACTATAAAAACCTACTTTGTCGGGGAAGAGTCGGTTGTGGGTGCGCCCACCAGATTCTCGTCTCCTCTCTTTGCTGCTCCTTGGGTGCACTAATCGTCTCTGCTTTAGCTCCGAAAGCACTGCAACTGGAGATCTCGCTCTTCAAGGTCGGAATAATCTCCTCCTCTCTCCCTCTCCTCCTCCCCCACTTATTTCTGCTTTGGTTTCTATTGTCTTGCCGCCTGCCGAATCTTTGCCAAGCAGCAACTCAACTCATTAGATCTAGCTTGTGCCTCTATAAGTCGTTCTGAGTGTGCTATTTAACTTAAAAAGAAACCACATTGTCTTTGAAATTAGCTTTTTTTTCTTGTTGCTGTCCCAAATGTTAGAACTCTGCAAGCTAAGCATTCAAATTTTTAACAGAACTCCGTGCTAACCATACAAGTCACGGAATAATATTACGATACTAGCTACTGTTTGTCTTTAATATATCGGTACTGATTTCTCTTCAGGTGAATAATAAGAACAAGACCAATGCAATTATAATTTTCTTTTGAATTTTCGTATCTAGCGGGTGCTTGATATGTTCTCTAATTTACTATTTCCGTCTTGTATTATTTAACATGTTTTGGCAAAAGAAAGTCCTGATTGAATTGTCTCCAATTTTTTAAAATGGAACCGTAATCTTCTTTTCTGTGTTATCAACTGTGTATGTTTACAATCAGACTTTAACAATAACCAAGATTTTATTTACCTACGTCTTTTTGTTGATAATGGTTAAGAACCATGTTCATAAGATCTAAAAAAAGATAAAAATTAATAAAATAGTTTACTTATAAATAATTAGGTCACAGAGGATTACAGAAGAGAACAATCTAAGATACTGTGAACATGTTAAAAGAAAACCTGTACCTATTGTCGTTAGTCAAGATGAATCAACTAGTATCATTGGGACAAGAAGAGGTAGCGTCCGAACTAATAAATAGTACTAATAATAATTTAAAAAAATGAATGCTTTTGATTTAACAAGACGTGTCTGGTATTCATCGAAGAAAAAGTTTCATATAGCTGATCCTAAATAGTTGGATATTATTGCTTAGTTTATGTTGTATCTTAGTTAATAACAACTAATGGATGTGAACTTCATTCTTCTTTTCTACATGGTTGTGCACATAATCTGTCCTAGATGAATCCCATGGAGTTGATTGTAGAAGAGATGTTCATCGATGTTTTTTTTGTCTCTATGCATAAAGATGGATAGTTTATTGTTTTTTTCTCTATAAAAATATGTATCATCTTGTTCATTTAAGTTTCTATAAAGAAATCATATTTTAAAGAAGAACCTAGATTTCTAGTGTTTATGTGCATAAACATTTACACAATTTTTTTGAGTACATGATCATGATGTTAGTAGAATTAAAAGAGGAACTGATGCTCGGAATAAATGCCTCTACTTCTTTATGATCTTTCACATGGTTGTATACATAGTCTGTCCCATGAAACTTTATAGGAGTTAATTGCAGAAAAAAACTGATTTGGATCACTGTTTACTATTTGAGCTTTGCTTTTGATCTGTTTCTTTGAGGAAATGATCTAGTAAAGTAGAAGTCAAATGTCTAGTGTTTGAATGCATAAACATTGATCCGTATAGGGCATGGGTTCAATGATTCGTCAATCCAATACCACTTCTCATATGGAAGTTATTGGTAGAGAGAGATATTGCTGGAAACAAATGTAAAACCGAAAGGAAAACAATGTCTATTGCTCATAAGATTAAAGTGCCTACTACAAGGGCTAAGAAACAGAATAAAAGCAAGATAAAAGACTTACAAATGCGTAAGAACATAGGTTGCCTTTGGATAGCACTTGGGTGCTGTCGACAAGTTGACGATTGCTGTTGGTTTTGGTCTTCTCCGTTCTTGTTGTTGGAACTTCCTTCTAAGGTTTGGACAGCGAATAACAAGCTTTGGGACTTCTTACAGAGGCTAGACGTAGCTTTGATGAAGGACTTTGGCTATTGGAACTTGATGGAATCTCTGCTGCAACGTTGCTGCAGTAGGCTGGGAGGAAGAAGGATGAAGGTCTGCCAACAATGGAGGAAGTAGGCTGTTGCTCTTCCTTGAACTCTCATTCTCCCTTCTTCTTCTTGCTGCTATTGAAGGCCTCTTTGCAAGCTACAAAGGCTGACAACAACTCAAAAAAGATCTCTGTAGCAAGGTGGCTACAGGGAGGAGGAAGGATTGTTGAATTTTCAAACTCCTTCCTCTCTTTCTCTCCTCTCTTCTTAGCTTAGGGCCGGTTGGGAACTCAAGAGGAGGCACGACTTGGATGCCTTCAAGAGGGTTGCAACCCTTTAGATTTATAGGATTGAGGGCGTATAAAGTCCTAATTTGATTAGGACTTCTCTTTAGTTCCTTGTAGTCGTTGAAGTCTTTTATTGTATATTACCCTGGTTGGCTAGGGGCTGCCCTAATCTTGTTCCTACTAGGATTGAGATTGGGCTGACTTGACTCAGGTCTCTGAGCTCAAGATTGGGTTTGGTCTTGGTTTGGCTTGATCATGATCGAAGTGGGGTCTAACTAGAACTCCAGTTGGGCTGAATTGGAGTTTGGCTCAAACTCGACTAGATCGTCCCTGATCAAACATGCCCAAAATTTTTTTGACTAATTGATGAGGATGATAGTGAGATTAACATGACATGAATGTTTGTGGAAGGCTTAAATGATTTCACATTGACAATAATTTTCTAAATACTTGTAATTTAGCAACTGGTTCATGGATCAAAGATGAATGCACTAACTTGAGTTGAACTTGGCCAAGCTTGAGCTAGGCCTGGCTTGCTTGATCTCATCTAGTTGACCTTCTTTTTGGAAAATCATGAAGCTAAACACCATCGTATATCAACCATAATGATTCAATGCTACTGATATGTTGGAATCGCAAGCATACTGATAAAATATCAACATCTTATATATTTTTAGATATTTTTGTCAATGGTCTACAAATGTAAACCATACCATAGATTGACAATTCAGTACATAATAATTTGATTAGATTTCAGCAAAAGTACTGCTACTAATGTTTTATTCCACAATTAAGAAGTAATTCAAGCTATAAATTGGCTGAGCTCTTAAGGTTTCAAGATCATAATTTTAGCTGTTGGAGTTGTAGGATTTTAGGTTGCTGAGATGCTGACATGGTTAACATTTGATCGAACAGTTCGAATTAATATCATTCATTCTTTTTGGCCAAGGCCTGGTGTAAAAAAGATAACACCATTGAATGAGGATAAATCATGTAAATTTCAGTGGCTTTGGCAAGACTGGGGAAACCTAAATCTGTTCCTGATCTTTGTTTATTTCCCCATATTCTTGTAGAGGAAAATACAAGAAGAATAGTCTAATTTTAGGGCCTAGCTGATTTGCTGCTCCATGTGCTCTGTGGATAGTTCAAGTAAAGTGTTTGATGTTTTCACTAGATGAGGCTGATTATAAGTTTAATCATATAATCATATACCTTATCATTAAATGGATGTTTTGGGGCCTTAGCGATGATCCTGACTATTTTCCTGTGAGTGATTATGCTTATCCCCCATTATCTAACTGGTCAACATTGACCCATCTTATTTTTATGTCATATCTAGTATTTAGAGTTTGCCTTGATTTGGTACTGCTCTCGCATCCCACACCAAAATAGTTCTGACTAAAAATTTAATTATATAATCATATACCTTTATCTTTATCACTAAACGGACATTTTGGGGCCTTACCTAATGATCTAAACTATTTTCCACTCACCGATGATGCTTCTCCCCATTATCTAACTGGTTGACATTGACCCCTCTTATTTTTGCATCATATCTAGTATTCAGAGTCTGCCTTGGTTTGGTACCGCTCTCACATCCCACACCGAAATAGTGTTTTACCCCTGGATGTGCAGGCAACTGTTGTGCCTCAACATATTCGGGATTCACAAGCATAGTCCTTGAATTGGCGAATGTATTTCTTTTATCCAAGGGCACCAAACTAAGAATTACAAGAACTAACTTGCATTTAGTTTACCTTGACTAGTTTATGATAAAAAAAGTTCAATTGAGAAATAAGGTCCCTCATATAATTTATTTGATTTGGTCATGCACAATTGTTTACATATCCAATTCTTTGACCCAGAGAAAAATAGTGAGTAGATGATTCACATTATTCATCAAGATACCGTTATCTGAACATGGTAGCACAGTAAAAGAATGTATCCCCAGTTCTATGTTGACAGTTCTAGCAGAAAGCATAGTCAACTACAGAAAATTCAGCTCATTCACATTAAACCTCAACTGTTTTCTGATTCAAAGCCAAATATCTCCACCTTTCCTTCTCAACAAAATCTGCATCTAGGAACTTAGCAACAAAAGTCCAGAGTTTGTAAGCATCCTCAAAGTTAGTGAGGAAGCTAAGGGAAGCATTTAAGACATTTATTCCCATAGTAGTTTTTTGTTTCTTTCTGTTGCCTGCAACTGTTATTTCACAGGCTCTTCTCTCCAAAACTTTATGTTTCTCAGCTTCATATTTGTCTGGGAAGCGTATATTGTTTAGGAACCCACAACTAAGAGAAATGTTGCTTCTATCTGCAAGCTTTTGTACAAGCACAGGCTCGATCTTCTCTCCTTTCCAGTCGAAGATGTTGAAAGCTATTGCAGGTCCCCTGTCAAATTTTACTTGTGGACCGTAGATCCTAACTAGGGAATGACCACTTTCAGAGTGAGGATGCTGCAGCTTAATCAAAGCAACGACTAACCAGTTGGTGATGCATCTCAATCTGTTGCTGATGAGTAGCAGACCTAGAGAGTCTGCATGATCCAATCCTCTGCACACAATCTCCATGCTCTTGTTTGCTTCAGCAGTGGTCGTGCTCTTTTCTGCTTGCACGGAGAGGTTGCATTCTAATTCTACAATACCCGATGATTCTTCATTATCATCTCGTGCTTTGGAACTCTCCACCTGCTCGGATCTCTCGACTTGCTTTTGTTTTTGTGTAGAAGCAAATTCTCCAAGCACATTATCTATAGCAGCAGAGTCATTACCGATATGTATGGGTATTGGACCAGAGAACGAACTGATGGTCTCAATATCGTCTTCGTCGAATTGGTTTCTAGAGGAATGGCCATCCAAATCTGTTCCTGAATAATCATCAGTCAGCTGCGACAGCCTTCTTGATGGGATGATGCTCACAATTCCGAGACTCCTGGCTATCGTAGATGACTCCAATGCTGCAGTGCTGGACTTTTTGATGAAAATTCCTGCAAAACCAGATGGGTTCTCACCAAACACTTTGAAGAAAGAGCAGATGATGAAGTCTGGCTGGATCAGCGAGAGCCCGAGGGTGTCCAAGTCCTTTGGCCCCAGAGCACATGCATCCAGCACCACTTGCCACCCATGTTCTTTAGCCACAGTCATCCATGAATACGGATACCTGGCTCCAGTAATCCTGGACTGAAGTGGAAACACAAACAGTCCTCTTCTTTTCTTCTTTCTCTTGCTCAGCTTCTCCATCAATTTATCAGAATGAATCCGGAGGCTTGGCCAGGAGAAACTAGCAGACATGACTTTGGCTCCTCTCCTGTAAGCGCTCTTAGTCATCGCATATATGGCCTCGCTCTCGTAATCATACACACTCAGCAGCCCCTTGTTGGCATGAAAGGGATAGGATTCTGCCAACAGCCTGAAAGCAGTGGTTCTGTTGGCAGTGCAGATCATGCTGTATGCACCATCCAGTATGTTGAGGAAATGCATGATCCTTTTCCTGATTGCTGATTCCAGAGCAGTATCTTGATTCCCGTACTGCACTTGAGATTTCAAGCTTGCTGACTTGTAAGCGATGCTGAAATATGGAGGCTGCAGCAGGCCTGAAGGCTGAGGATCACCAGATGTGGATGCTCTGGAGGAGTGCACTTGTGCATGGGAGAAGAGGCTAAATCCAGTATAATCGAGGCAGACATGATCAGAAAGGTGATAATATTCACTGTTCCTGATTCGGTCTGCTTCTTCTGTCTCACCGTACTGTGGATACACTCTGATAAAGCCGGACAAGGCATCAGGGAGGGGAGGCAGGCACTCATGGTTTGTGAAGTGGGTGTTTGGGAAGATGGAATCCTTCGTCAGCTTCGCAAAATTCATCCGTGAGATTCCAATGGTGGTGGTTCTTGCGTGGTGCATGGTGGTGCTGGACTCGACCAGGCCAAGAAATGGCACCGGACAGCAGCCATGGGTGCATGCCTCTCCGATATCCCTGATGCAAGGAGATTGAATCTCTATCATTATCTTTCCCACCTTGTTCTTTCTTGTAGCTTTCTTCGTCTCTTCCAGAAGCCTTTGGTAGCCTTTCAAGGTGCCAATGGATGAGGAAGAACATGACAACGTTTCGTCGGTGGGAGGGAAGAGACTGCCATGGATATGATCGGAGTCCCGAAGAAGACACAGCTTTCTTGCCACAGGCCTTGGACTCTGACATCTCATGAGGCTCTCATGCCCTTTTTAACACCCCAACTGCTCAATTAATCAACAATTTTGGGTACCTTGACTTCCAGACGGTAATCATACACAGGTATGACTGGCTCTTTTGAACTTTTGGCTATGGTCCACCTCTGTCCATGGAATTATAGATGCCTGCATGGACCATCTCAGTCTTGGGAGAGAGAAGCTGCTTGCTGCCATATGTAACCGTGTTCTTTGCACTCTCATTAAATAAAGATGTGCAAGTTGGTCAGGTCCAGATATTAGATTGCAGATGCTAACCGATGTAAGATTACCGGCACAAGTGAACAAAGGTGGTCATTGTGAGGGACGGCTGCAGGCAGGCCTCGATGGGGACGGCTAGCCTAACGCAGAAAAGGCTACAAGTTGCTTCCTTTGTTGAAGGATTGCTGATCGTCTTGACCTGGTCCATCAGCTCTTTAACAAGCCTTGCATTTTGGGTGATCATCTCTTTTTTGATTCAGTCTTGCTGTCTCTGTAGGTTCTAACTGGTGTAGTATGAATACAGATTGCAGGATCTCAGATATCTTGTGCTTCTGCTTCCTTCTGGCTGCTAGTTTAAATGAAAGCAGGTAAATTTCAGCTGCTTAGAACAAAACGGGTTTCATTTGGATACTTTTTGCTGTCATGTTCATGCATGTCATATGCATATGATCCAGATCAAACCAGGTATGTTTCTCCTTATGTTCTTTCAGCTGTTGTGTCATCCTAAAAGATTAATTACGGCCTGCCTCATTGCTTCAGTGACGACTTTTCAGAGAGGTGGAACATCATTGGCTATGATTTGGTGGAAGACCCAAGTGGTGTGTTCTACTGCAGACATGATCGTTTAGAGGCCACTCCGATGTCTCGTGGACTGGCCCCTCGCGAGCACGTCGTCTGCGTATCTTCGGCGAGTGCTCACTGGCTTCTATGGTGGGAGGCCTCCGGGGATGACCAATCAACATTGAGAGATAAACTCTTCTCTGGGTCGTACGACTCAGCAGATCGGGTGCGAGTCAATGGGTTGACCTCAGTGGGTACAATGACCGACCATGTGACCTGTCTGGCTTTGCCACCTCTGCGTTGATTGGTGAGGTAAAATGTGGACCCACACCCTCGAGGAATGCATGCATTTAGAGAAAGACATTATTGTTTGCTGCCGCTTCGACAGCTTCGTAGGGTCCCTTCACCACATTATTGCAAGTACTTGCTATCACTACTATTATTGCATCCCATATTTATGCATCATTACGCAAAGATGTGAGCAAATATCACGTTAAGGGACTTATTGGCTTTGAAGATATGGAATTATTTTACCTTGATACGAGATATCATCTGGTTTTTGACCACATTACGTTCGAGTTATGGGTCCCGGGTGAAAGGCATTCTTGATGGTGGAAAAAAACGTTAGAGAAACTTTATTTAGGTGAAAACAATATTCAATTTAAAGATGGGTAAAGTCTTTAAAAAAATATTTAATTTTTATTTTTCCTCACGAGATGTCTCTTTTTTTTTTTTTTTATCCGGTGGCCTTTTCGTGGCATCTTTCACCTTTTGTCGTAGCCTTCGACTTCAATTTTGTCACTCTCGCCATTGTTCCCTGATTACTATCTCGTTCATTGTTGTCAAAGCATTCTAAGTTCTTGCCTCCGTCTCGTTATCACTATTGTAAGTAGAAGTAGATGAGAGAGTGAGCAAATGATGTCAATGTTGGCGTAGAGGTGACAAATTGTGACGGAGAAAACAAGGGAACGAAGGAAACGAGAGTGAGAAAGACACAAGAGGAGGAAGTCCTTCTCATCGTGGGAGGACATGATAGTTTAGGCTAAAGAGAGACGATGGGAATCACGAATGGACGATGAGAAGAGGCATGAGAGAGCGAGGGTAAAAGTGGAGACAATCGACAAATGTACAACAACATCAATAAACGAGAGTTGAAGACGATAATCGATGGGATGAAGGCAAATGATAATCTTATTTTTTAGAAAATAAAAAAATATTTTATAAAAATAAAAAAAAGTGTTCCAAGAGGAAAACTGAAAATATAGGATTTATTTTTTTAAGAGTTTATCCTTTAAAGATCTTACTATAAAATAATTAATATTTTTAAGGACTTTACTATCATCAATCATTGACGTCGGGGAAGTACTAATTACCACTCCTGTGACTCATTTGATTTGACATGGAACGAACGAATGAATTGGTCGGATGGCATGGCTCCATGATTGGATCCAAACCAAAAAGAAAAAGGAGGGGTTTGAAGGTCAGTATCATCTATCATTGTTATTAATTAGAAAAATACTCTAGTATATATATATATATATAATTGCACGACCATCGTAATTGATTCCCTCTATTGCAGTCTTCTCAACGCCGAACATAGTCATGTCGTGTGCGTAATCCAACTTCAATTCCTTGTGCGATATTGTGGACAAAAGTTTCTCGGTAAAAGCCTCCCATCTGATCTCATCATGCGTCGTTTCCACCTACAGTGAGAGCGGTCAATATCCAACGCGTTTCCAAATCAGTTTGAGTATTTGATTATCTATAATTCTGATCTCAATATCAGAACCGACGAATTTAGTTTCAGAATCGACGATCCTGATTGTATGGAATTTGAAATCACAATGGAATCGATTCTAGACTGTCGTGATTTCAATTCGTAACCCTCTATTTTTTTTTTAATATCCCTCGAATTAGTTATTTATTAAGTTGTTGGATGGATTGATTTATCATTTAGAATTTAGAATGATTTTTGTATAAATCCAAAGACATTATAATATATGTAACAAGCAATATAAAGTGAGAAAATTATCAAATAAATAATAAGTAAAAAAGAATGCATATTGTGTCGCACGTGCTATCACTCACGTGATTGACTTGTAAAGTATATATAATTAGTAATCTCTCACTCGATCTAAAATCAATCACCTACGTATCTAGTCCTCTTTAGACTCCTATAATACTCAAACACAATATGAGACAATGATTTCATTAGTGGATCTATAAGGTGAAACATCATCAGAACGTTCTTAGACATCTGATTAGACCTAACAGCCCACACCCCCCCTCGCCGTGCCTTTTACGATCTTAACAGTCATGACGAGGTTAGAGGAAAATTGTGTCCCGAAGGGCACCGCAAGTGTAGCTGAAAAAGAGGGCCCAAGACTAATATGAACACTTGATGATGTGTCTCGAACCCTTTACGAGGTCCCGATATACGCCTTCAGGGGGACGAATGATAGAAAATATTCTCACGCCAACTTGCGGTCACCGAGGAGCCGATGTGGACCGAGTCATATGCGATCGACTCTCGATGTCATCTCAGGGATAAATTGAGATATTCTCTCAATAAGATGATGTCGTCTTTCACGATGTCAACAACCTTGATGGTAGTCATCCTCACGAAATAGTAATCCAGAAGGAGATTATCTTATTAACTCGAGTTAGTAGGGATGTGACCTTTTTCTTTTTTTTATACTAATTCTATAGAAATCGAGAACATATCAAAATCGCTCTAAAGCAAATCAGGATTTCCTGTTAAAACTTTAATTGCCGGAAACATGAAACAACTTAAAAAGTCAAGAATTACAAAACATGAACAACTGACTCCAGAAAACAATGCTTCAACCCTTGGAGTCTATTGGTATGATTTAAAATCTCATAACAACAAAAGAATTTTGAGAAGTGTCTCTATGAACTGTTGATACAAAGAACTCTAGAAACAATGACGAACCAGGAAAGCCTCCTATACTAACGGCAGTATTAATGATTAATCCCATTCAAGCATCGGACTCGAGAATTTCTAGCCAGTGCACAAAAAAGGTTCTGTGTATACATGAAGGTTTCCCAAAAAGCTGCTGAAACTTGAAAATTCTCACATTCGCTGGTATTCTACATCATTAAAGTACACCTAAACTAAGATTTTGCCATATAGGTTGCATTTCAAACTGTATAGTTCATACTTGTCTAAATATGTTGATTAGTTTTATTTAGCTTACTTTGTATAGGATGTTGGAGTGCTGATCTACAGTGGAAAACATACTGATGAGGGTAATAATGGCGATAAGACTCGGGTGACGTCAGCTGCCCCAGATGACGCCTCATGCCTCTGTTGACCTGTCAGCGCCTGGTCAACGCGGATCGAAACGCCGACCAAGGCACATTAACACCCTGCTCAAGCTCGATCCCCTCACGCCACGCCAACATCGATGTCAGACGCTACCAGAAGTACGATCCTGCTCCCCACGGGCAAGCGCATCAGGCAACGGTAACCCTCATTATAAAAACCCTCGCGCTTCGAGGAAAAGGAGGGAGAATACAATAGATAAAAAATCCCCTACGACTATTCACTAACTTGATCGTCGGAGGGGTCGGGCTGAGCTCCCCCGACCCGACCTATGTGCAGGTGCGAAGACGGAGGCCTCCCACTAAACGCACGAGCGAGGAGTTCCCTCCCGGAGGAAACATCAACCCCGTCTCGATTGGACCATCGCAATCGGCCACCTCAGCGGTCTCGAGGGCCGCCCCGGGAAGAACCCCCATCATCCAGACCCGAACCAAGCCGTGTCAACCCCGAGGCCACGGCTTAAAGTTGTTTACCCCAACACATACGTAAGTCAAAATATATTATTTATGCGCCGACAGTAATACTCAACCCAGATAGTAGGTTTTACTGTCATTTTGGTACACTCAAACTTCCCAAAATAATTATGAAGATCGAAAGGTTATAGATAAGTAGAATAATCTATAATTAGTCCTAAAATTAACATCAAATAGAATAAAATGATACCCGAAGTAAAGAATTAATTACTTCATTCGCAAAACAAAGATCAACCATAATAATTTATTTGTTTTTAGAATTTGATTATGTGCATGTAAACCAAAGAAAAATAATCATAATCTAACTTGTAATAACCTACGGGATATCCAACAGCCACACCACCGTCTACCCCCAATGGCACGCACCACGTTTCCCCTCGCCGCCGATAACCCTAACGGAGAAGTTGATGATCCCATTGCCCACACCGTTGCTGTCCCTCAGCTTGTAACTGAGCAAGTGCAGGTAGTCCTCCAGCCACAGGAAGTCCGACACCGGAACCTCCGCCGCGGCCACCGCGCACGCGGCCCCAGCGCCCATCTTGCTCCTGCAGTAGACCCCCAGCGACAGTGACCGTGCCGACGGCGGCAACGTCATCGTGAGCTTCTCGTTCCAACAGGGGTAGCCTCCGCCGTCCCGGTCGACGCCGGTGGCGACTTGGCCGTGCGTGTCGGAGCCGGAACGGACGGCCACGAAGGCGCCCTTGTCTAGCGGACGGCGGCCGCGGCGAAGCTCCTCGGCCGAGATGATGGTGATCTCTACGGTGGTCGCGGTCCTCTCCATTGCTGCTCGTATGGGGTTCGTGGCGTTGGTGCCGCTATATACGCAGCGCGTGGGAAGGTAGGACGAAGTGGGAACGAAGCCTTGCGGCGATTTCCTACGTGGATTCCGTGTAACCAGGTTTGATTTCTTGTGGAGATTGGATAGGCGAGTCAAATTTTTTGACCTAGTCTTTCCCAAAATTCTGTGCCTTGTCATTAATTTTACGTCCAATATAGAATAATCGAGTCACCGGTCAACAGACGGACTTATGATTCTATCCAACCACACTTAACTCCTTCCCTAATAATAGAAACCAGAGGACAGTTGCCTAGCGAGAGATTGGTAGTTTGCATGCCAAGTCGATGAACAAAAAAGATGATGTGGTCGTAGAAAAGAATCATCATACGAGCTATGAAACTTCCACCAACAATAAAAACATGGTCTATTTTTGTACGACGACTACACGAAAAAGCATTTGATTCGAAAGAATGAATCTTATGAGCGTGTATGATGCCAGCAAGAAAAAGTTGATGACAAGGATAGCGCACGTCTTTTTGTCTCTACCTTTAGATGAGTGTAATATGGGGGAATTGAAATATGACATGGGCATTGAAATATGGCATGGCATACAAATATGACAAGTTGAATTGATCCACTCATCATCGATATTTTCTATATCAATTATAAATAAATTTTCTAGTTTTATCTTTTGTTGGGATCATACCTAATTCCTACAGTTCTAAGCAACGTTTTGCCAAAGATTTTGACCCTAAAATAGCCGTAGAAAATTCTGAAGCATACATGTCACATAAATGAAGGCGATGCAAAGAGAGATTCTTACACTGACTCGATCGCCCGCTGCTTGGGAATCGAAAGACGCTCAAGGCTCTGACTCGGTACAGAAGACTTCTTACAGGTTGGAAAAGCCGAGCATAACGCGTACCGGCGTTGAAGCCTCGCCCACACGGATCGATCCGCGCCCACCTTAGAAACAATAACAACAGCAATAATCCAAACGGCGGCCGATTAATAATCCAAAAGAAACGTATAAAAGTAAAGAAGGGAGGAGACGTTTCCAACAACAACAGAGAGCCCTAAAGTAAACAATATTATATTATAAATTAAATACCTACAATATATTCTAAATTAATTCATTAGCTTCCGTGTAACATCGGAACACGTGATGGCCCGCTCGCGTCACGTGCGCGCCTCGTCGTCGCGCTCTTCGCCGCCGCGATCGGCCCAGTCTGGTACGTTACACGCCCTCCGCGTCGGCTCGGGGCAGTCGATCACCCGCGGATGCTGGGGGCGGCGCTCTGGATAAACCTCGTTAGGGTCCAGCCCCGCCGATTCCGTTGGCCCCGGCTTCAACATCGGCGGCGGGCCATCGCCGTCCTCCGACCGAGGCCGCTTCACGCCGATCGACACCCCGAAGAGCCTCGGACTCGCTCCCGGCGGGGAGGGAGGCACCTCCTCGGACGTGGCATCCTCCGGCTTCACGTCCTCCTCCTCTTCGACCTCGTTGTAGAACGCCTCCTCCGCCCCAGGTCTCGCCGGCATCAGCTCCAGGAACGGAGCCGCCTCAGCACCTCCGCCACCTTCCTGCCGGTCCGACACGTGCCTCGATATCAGCGACGCGATCTGGCCGCACAGGCTCTTCATCTGCGCCACCTCCCGGGCGAGCCGCTCGTTCTCCTTCCTCAACCGCTCGTTCTCCTCCCCCAGCTCCGCGACGCCACAGGGACCCACGGCCACCGTGGGAAACGGCCCGGAAGAGGAGTCGGACGACAGCACCTGCTCCTCCCCCGAGTTCGTCGGCGATCTGGCTCGGCTTACCAGCGCCGTCATCCTGCTCGCCGCGGCGGCAGGGGCCGGCTGTGGCGCCACCGTAACGGCCTTCCTGCGGTGGATCTCGCGGAGGAGGCGCTTTTCGCCTCTCCTGAAGTAATCGTTGGCGAACTCCCATCGATCCGGCACGATCTTCCGAAATCCCTATCGAAAGTCCCCAAAATACTCAAAAACACATCAATAATAAGAATAAAAGGACACGGTCGAAGATTAGGCATACGTAGGTGTTGAGTTGGCGAACGAAGCTGGAGAAATTGTTGTGCTTGAAGTGTTTTGGGAGGAGGTCGCGTGCGAACTCCGCCGGCCGCCAGACGACGAACGTCGACCCGTCCTCGTTCCACGAGATCACGTCGTCCATCTCGGGGTCGTCCACCAGCTGGTACGTCTTCGTCAGGAACGGCGTCGGCAGCGCCCGCTGCTGCCCATCCGCCGCCCGTTCCTCGGCCGGCTCCGCCGCAGGAGCCATCTCGCGAAAAGCTGCGGGAAGATATTGAAACTTTCCAGAAGTTTCGATTGAGAAACAGTAATACATATATAAATATAGAAAAGGACATCGCCGAGGGAGCGGAAAGCAGTTAGATAGGTAAAGAAACGCAACGGGTTGAAAGGAGTCGGTGTACCCGAGACATGATCCAACGGCGAGCAATGATTCGGGCGAGGCGACTAGGAGGAGAAACTTCGATCCGGTTCTCGTTCTCGAAGATTCGGGAGCCGACGTGTCTGACCAATCGGATAGTACACGTGGTGGACGGTGATGGGTTGAGCGACCGAATCGCCAGATCTTTTGTGGCTTGGATTACCCCGACATCGACACGTTAGCAACGTGCACTTTTTATCTTCTCGGTAAGGGAAAAATAATAATACAAGGACCGACGACATTCATCATGTTCTGATATATATATATATATATATATATATATATATATATATATAGTACT